TTTTCTTAACCATTTATGAATGCTTTGGTATGTAGTGTGAATGGAAAACTGTAGGTGAAATGTGTCGCGTTTCATGTTCTCACGATCTCAACTCTTGGTAAACAGTCAAACAAGATGAGGTATGTAATAAAATTGTATTAGTGTAAACATTTGCATTACATATCTTGGACTTGAGATCATACTAGTATTGAGTATGGTTTTACGCCGCTTTTAGCAATATTCCAGCAATATCACGGCGGGGGACACCAGAAATGGGCTTCACACATTGTACCCATGTCTGGAATCGAACCGGGGTCTTCGGCGTGACGAGCGAACGCTTGAACCACAAGGCTACCCGACCGCCCCTGTATTTCGAGAGATGTGTAAACGTTTACATATAACGTGAATTGTGTTCATGGGTTTTATCAAACTGGTTAAAGCCAACGACCCTCATTACTTTAGGTTTCTTCCGCCTCGAAGCGGACATACCGTGATACAAGTGAACCACTGCTCAAAGAACAGAACAGAACCTCACTCATTCCACTTAGACTCCGTTGTGTGTATAAACCATCTGATGCAGTCGTTATATGCGAAGCAATATGAATTGCATGTGTTATGATCCAGACGATAATTAATTGACGAAGTGAAATGATTTGTATAGCCCGAGACAATAGTTTCTGGGGTGTACAAAACTTTCAGCTGGAAACGAATCTTTTATAACAAGTTTACAAACTACAAAGACGTCCATAACGTGAAATATAATTATGTGACCATTACTAGTATATGTATTTGTGACGGCCACCGGATGAATAAGAATCAATTATGACGTAACATGCAATTGACGTCACATCAAACAATATGACGTCATCAAGCCTATCAAGGCCGGCTGACAAGGGACTCACTCATGATACAGCAAGTTTCTTTAACCAGTCATGCTAATCCCCTGAACATTCTGTTTACCGTTACATCAGTTGCAATTATATGAAGACATTGAGCTATTGATTACATGTGTATGCCTTACATCTTCAAACTAGGACTGCCATCACTGCCACTTTCCCACTGAACTGATTTTCGTACAAATACTTATCGCGTTAGTAAATATTACCATTCACTCTATCCTCCAATAACCTCATGGGTTCCATGGTCCTTGAATGTTCGTGTGTACTTAGTGCCCTGCTATATCAACAGCTCTTGTTTTGTAGGTTGGCCCGAAAACGTTGTAGAGACAGATGTTTCAAATGGTAATTGGTATTTGAGTTTCCCATTATTTCACTGAGACCGTCTATGTATTTAGAGGGACTCAATTTGGTTCAATTTCCTCCTGGAACCTCTCATGTTAGAAATGCACTCCAGTGTTGTTATCATTGAAACACATCCACACAATCTCAATGTATTGCATTGATAGTTTTTTTCTGTATAATTTGGGTTCAACAGTAATATGAATATTTCACAGTTACCATTAGCAGCTGTTGCTTTCTTTAGACGACATGTGCCATAGCTTATTAGAGAAATAGAGGTTATCACGCGAGTGTGTTTGGGGATGGTAAATATCCTGCATTAGGAATAAACGTTGTATTTAGCGAGCCTTGGCGAGCTAAATACATAGTGTTTATTCCTAATACAGGATATTTACCATCCCCAAACACACAAGCGTGATAACCTCTTTATCATAAAATGTCATTCTTTAATTCTGTGCTTCAAAATCGCTTTCCCTCTCTCACAAACATTACCGAAACATAGCGAGTTTGCCTGGAATGCACGCATTAATATTTATTACGTCACAGGGTAAGTGATGTGTCAGTCGGACAGTGACAGTAGCCAATATAGTTCCAACTGAAATCTGTTTCTTATACAGTGGCGAAGCAACATATATACGCAAAACAACAATTGTTTTGAATTTCCTTTCGCGGCAATCCATCGGTCTGTCCGCTAGAGTAACTGCCCTTTGTCAAAGGGAAGCTACTCTAACCCTTGTCTATGAGATGTCACGGCCACGGTCAGACGTTGTTGACAGTCGGTCTGTCCTGTCATAACGTTTAGAAGTGTAGTCAGATGTACACACAGCGACAAAACGAAACAAGGTAACAATTCAAACATATCGGCCAAATCCAACTATTTTAATTTGTGGAGAAGGTTTCAAGCCGCAGAGGTCTACAAGCACAGATTTGGCTACTGATCCCGCTTGGCTAGGCCTCGTGCCCTCGCAAAATTGTTTCGAAATTTATATCTCCAAAGTTGCCGAAACTTATAAAACGCCTTAGCTACGTCACAGTTAGAAACTGATTTTCAGTATATTAGACTGTTCTTTTGATAATGATAGCAATTATCCCTGTAGTTTGTCCAGATTCCCGATGGTTAATTTTGACTCGATCGCCGAATGACAATGGCGACGCCATGTTTGTTTATAGACACTGAAAGTAGTCCCTACTTGACCTTTGATATTTGCATCTCTATCCGCATATGATCCCAACGGATATCGTTTTTATCCGTTGGCTTTATCCTGCCGAGAAACCTACCCATTATATGATAATATCTGACATGTTCATTCAAAATATGACATTTATGTTGTAATCTGAATCTATATCGTCTAGGTCTTATCGTTGTTTTATTCGTGTTTCACCTTACCTTACTCGGAAACGTGACCACCAGTGTAGTAATGGCATAAATTATTGAATGAAATATAAGCTGTGGTTTAAGATTTGAGCTTAATATTTTTAAGTTTTCAAAACGTTTTATGGTAGACACGTCGAGGACATTTCAAAGCTTGACGTATAATTAACCAAAATTATGCCCGATACAATTCATTATTTTGACTTGTACCATATGTTCCTTTGTTTTTTGGGTGAAGACTTTACTTGTCTTTGCATGTGTTTGTGACGGCTGCCACTGGTGTGGCAGGATACGATCATCTTTTCGCTAACGCGTGGTATCATCACTATTTGATAGTTAAACACATGCTCATGACAAAGTCGGAATCGTACAATATACTCTGCTTTTTGCAGAGATTACTTATGAACATGGAAAGGGTTTTGTCGATTATATTTATTATGATTATGAAAATAATTTTGTCATTGTTTTTTCAAGAAAGTCATCTTGATAATATTGAGTGCTTTCTTCAATCTGTCACAAAGTGTTTTAATGTCATTAATATCATCAAGAGTTAGCGAGTGAGCTCGGTTTAGCGCCGCTTTGAACAGTATTCCAGTTACGTCACGGCGTGTCACCTTCATGAGGAAGAAAGCCTAAAGTGATGCAGGTCGCAGACATTTAACACTTTGGCGAAACGCTCGAGAAGGGATACGGTGCTGACAAACCTAGAAACATAATCGGGTTTCGAACCCACGATCAAAGACTGCTGGCGCGCTCAAGGGAAGAAATATTATCAAGAAATAAATCAATATTTAAGAATGTAAAGACTATGTTGTATGTATTTTCGGGTTTACATGTAACATTAGGGCGTATAGCATAGGAAAGTAACCTCGGTATATTCCAATCGCAGTGTGTTGTAAATATAGAATATTGCCCGGTACATGTCCTATATATGTTTTAATAGTTGATGAAAAGTTGTTCTAAGTGTCGCAATGAAGAGTTCGAATTGCAGATTCGTCATACCGCTGAGAACAACACGTCATCCATTGTTCATTATTCAGTGATGCGTCGTCAGAACAATAGGTGGACTATTGAGACGGAGATATTTCTTTTGCATGTCTTGTAGGGTTGACACTTCATTTATGTTTCATAATTGTTTGTTTTAAATTGGCAATTGGTAATGTAATATAAAGACTCCTCCACTTGTGGATGAGTATGACACTATCAAAGGCTTAGGATTCATTCAGAAAATATACCCATGCTCATTAGTATTGTCATCCCCAAGATATATGCGTCTAAGTTAAGGGGTGACCATCATTATGAGGATGGGTATATGATCCGTGTTTCTGCCGTAGATCCAGGAAGGCCCATGTTCTTGTGCTTTGGCCTTCTGAAAGCGAATTCTCATGGATATACAGATAAACACTACAGCTGTTCCAAGCAGTTCTCAGCGGTAAAATATATGTACAAACACACACACACACACACACACACACACACACACACACACTGCGAATGGAATTAATTCAACTATAACTACAGCGGTTTTTGGTTTTATGAAAACGTATGTATCGAATCTTGCCTGGAATAATTCAACTATTGTCTCGCAACCTCGCATTTTAAAAACATGCTAGATCCGCCCTTGATTGCGCTCTTACGTTTAATTAAGTGAGCATCGAACTAAAATATAACCACATTATCTAAAAAGTCAACATGACCTCGTGTGACCGACCCCAAAACACAGTGATATCCGACCCACAGGATCATAAGATATTGACCCAAAGCACCTCGTGATATCCTCGCCACACGTTCACGACAAGACCGGTCCACAGGATCACGAGGTATCCGGTTCCCCGGACCACTAGGTATCCGGCCGAATGTGACCATGACGAGGTATCCGACCCACAGCTAACGTGACATCCGTCCCAAAGGGTCACGAGGTATCCGGTTCCCCGGACCACTAGGTATCCGGCCGAATGTGACCATGACGAGGTATCCGACCAACAGCTAACGTGACATCCGGCCCAAAAGGTCACGAGGTATCCGGTTCACCGGACCACTAGGTATCCGGCCGAATGTGACCATGACGAGGTATCCGACCCACAGCTAACGTGACATCCGGCCCAAAGGGTCACGAGATATCATGATGTCCGGCCCACAGAACCACGTGACATCCGACCCACGGGACCACAAGATGTCTGGTCCACGGGACCACGAGGTATCCGGCTGAATGTGACCATGACTTCAGTCTTTAAGAGACATCTTTACGGACAACGGACGAGGACATTTAAAAAAATGTTTGTTTACCTTCGATATTTATCCACTGAATATTTCCAGTTTATGTAAAGTAAACACTAACCACCTGTTCACACAGACAATACACGTTGTTGATATATCTGCGCAGCATGCATCAATAGAACTCCAACATGATATTCTTAAGCACGAACTCTTTATTCCAACCGTTGGAAACATTTTTTGTTTGAAATAAATAAATAAATAAATGATATTTTTTTATGGAATGTACTAACATATCATGTGACACATAAAGGAATGTATCAATACAGATGATATAAAAATAATCGAGCATTGTAATGTAATGCATACCGTGTCCATATGCAATCCGAGTGTATGACATTGTCCCGATAATCTTGTACCGATACCAGAAAGTTCTATGTTCTGAAACAATTATATATCCCCGTTAAAGTGTAAGTTAACGAAGTTTCATGTTTATGCATAGGACAGATACATTTTCATTTTCATTCTTCTGAGCGAAAAACACTCTAACATTGTCTTTCACTTTATCGAGATAGTCAATCAACCCCTTTCGTACAGATTTATTTACCGTACATTGCTGAATTCAATATTCCGTCATTTGTACAGTAAGGTACATTCCAAATCTGACTATGGCACGACTGTTCAATTTGTTTGGAGACCACAGAAAGGCGTACAATATGTAAGGACAAGTGGTTGTACACTATTTTCGAGGCCCAGTTAGGCGGACAATGATGAAAAATAACGCTCCTCGTTATATGTCCAAAATGTCCCAAAATTAACAGAAATTTAAAATTGAATGAACTAAATACACACGAGAGGAGGGATGAGTGGCTACAAAATAAACACTTTTGCAGTTATAAATAATATTCACATTCTACTGTCTCAAAGTGTCTTTTTTTCAACAATCCTTGGGTAGCTCCTTCTTCACAAGGCACGTAAATATGCACGAAAGACGATTCAATTGTAGCCCAATTTCGTCGTGTACACATTTTTCGCAACGTTCTTCGCAATCCTCTGACGTCACACGCAATTCTGTGCGCTTTCTTGATGGCGCGGTTCCTCCTGTACAATCAGGGTCGATGGTCCTCCCTTTTGAATCTATGCAGGCCTGCGCACACGCCTTGCCGTCATACATATTCTTGCCCCATGATTCGACGCAGTTGAGACACTCAAACAAACAGCCGTCGTACAGAGTGAATCCTTCCACCAGCAAAGGAATGAGGAAAAGTAGTCCGAAGGAAAGTGTCGGTTTCATATCTGAAATTACAATTGTCAAAGTATGTATGAACTATATCTTACTGATCGAATTAACGTCTTCATGAGACTAATTTGTATGTGTTATAGAATATTCTGACCTTTCCATGTGGTTGATTTGAACATTGTGATGTCCTTGGTGCTTGTTTCTAGTTTAATGGTTTACGGAAAACACCAAGAAATCACAGCTATTTCCTTCATGTTTTATACATCAGGCATAGCGGTCACAGTATCGGGGGACCTAAAAGTGGTGACATTAGTGACATTAAAACAGGCTTCTATCAGAAAACTTGCTTTAAGTTGCATTTACGTGTACTTGTCGTGTAACGAACACGAAATCTGACCAGAAATTATCTTCTTTATGAAGTCTGAGTAAATGTATTCAAAGAACCTAACTGTAACGCCATTTTGCGGAATCATGATGAGCGGAACTACTTTTTTGTAATCACATGTTTCAGGGACCCAGCATAAAGGCCATGTGACTGTACCCTTAGGTTTACGTTTTTATCCGCAAATATTTCAACGATACAGTACATATGTTTACATATGTTTTATTGCATTTGGACAAACCGGACATCTTTTTTGTAATGAAACCGTTAAACTTACTGTTAACACCAGCGTTAAAACTGAAAATCACTCACTAGTAATTCAAGCAAACAACATTGGCCCTTAGTGGCCTGTAAATGATTGCCGAAGTATGAACCGAGAAGCTGGTAGAATTCAAAATCCGCGCTGTTCCCGAATCTTGTCTCTATGAAACATATGACACGGTATTGACCTTATCGAGTTAAGGAAATAGTCACCGACAGAACGCTGTCAGTATCCCTGAAGGATATCCCGCATCACTGGGGTTCATCATCCACAAAAGTATATCCGCTAACAAAATGCACTGAACAAAAGAAGTTAGACATCATGAATATTATTTTGGGATACCTTTATGAAATTGTATGCTCACTACGAAGAAACTATCCCCCAAAATATTCATGATCCCTAACTTATTTTGTTCAGTATAGTTTAAATGACCAAAGAACGTTTGATAATTCCCCCGTCTAGACATTAGTCTTGTCATGAACAGAGTAATAGCTCACAGCGACCGGTGTCACATTACTTGGTTAATTCAATGTATACTGATGGCTGTGAAGCCCCATGATTATCATACTCTCTCACTGTCAACATTGTTCCGCTTTGAATCAAGATCCCTCCTTAAGAAAACGGATTATTGATTTTCCTTTTGGTTTATACAATTGTTGCCTGTTGTCGGAGACGTTCAAAGTTTCCCTTACCAGAATCTTTGTCTGTTCTACACGTTCGCTTTATCCACAATGTTCCCATATAAAGAGTGTCACGTCGTCAGCCTGAATAGGCCCATTGTTTGGTATTCACTTGATAGTTAATAACGGTGATTGAAGCTACGTATGCATGTTTACAGTATGTATCTGGAAGGTATATGTTTTGGAAAACAGCTGAGTGAATGTCTGCATAACTAGTCAAGCTACGGGACATTGGCGTGTTATGGTTGTCATAAGTAGAACAGCCATTGGCAAAGATGTACTTTACCTTCTATAATGATGAAATTACAAGAACATACACCCTATTAACTATCTTAGGATTGTATTTTTTCAAGACGCAGTGTTTGTTAACGTAACTCGTATCTTTTTATCAGCTAATTCCAATTAGTTTCATCTCATTCAAAGATAATTCGGAGGTCAATGTAAAAGAAAACCTATTTCACTTTTTATCTTTAAGACAAGATTTAGCTCACCTTCAACTGCATTTTGCAGGATACCAAACCCAAAACTACAACTACCAGTGTGAGTGGGTGAGTGAGTTTGGTTCAACGCCGTGTCGAAAATTATATCATGGCGTGTATACGTGATTATGGGGAAAGCCCGAAGTGATGCAGGTCTTACACATTTACCACTTTTAACCCACGAGTACGGGTGAGTGCTGACAAACCTGTGACCATCAGGGCGAATATCATATTCGAACTCACGATCATGCATAGCGCATTGAGGCGCCTTCGTGGAAAAGGCTATACGAGGCCCTTAAAACAACTAGAATCATACAGATGGCACGGCACCTGTGTAGTAACACTGAGAGTGACATTTGAAAAATAAGGTCGCAGAACTCGCATAAGTTCTCCACCACGTTAGCCGTCTTAGTTAAGTCATTACGGATCATTACTTATTCTGATGTTACATAAACATAAATACATGTACTACTAACCAGGTGCGCTCAACAGTTGCCTCACGGCCCCCTTCTTAACTTCTATGAGACCTAATTAGATTGGACATCACATCACAGAATAATTTCATTAAGTATTAAAAGTGAAGTCTTGAATCTAATCACCCAGGAAAAAGAGCCAACACAAAAACTGCAATTACTGATATCTGTCCCATAATGGATCTCGAATTCACAAAATTTCATGTATTTATTTAGACAGTGTTATGAGAAACCGTTTAGCGCATTTTGTCGTCCGGTCCAGACAATCCAGTACTGACATCATGAGCAACGATCCACGCCTCAGGCGTTTAGAATCCAAGGTGGGCGGGTTCGAAAAGCTCAGATTGTTTTTGTTGGTTTGTCACCCGTGGTCGGGGTTTTGTCTGAAGCTATAAGACCTGCATCACCTCGGACTTTCTTCCTATATTTAGCTGAGAGGACGTGATATTACTGAAATATTGTTATACCAAAAGTTTCCACTCACAACTCTACATAACAAACCCCACGCCCCCAGAATGAATTCATAACACATTGAACATGGTTGTCAAAACAATATGAATAGATTACAGTCCCGAAGAGGTAATGTTGAAACAAATCAAATCTGCACACATCCTGCGCTGATTCATTGTAATGTCGAACATCACAGAAGCACCGGTGAAAATATTTTCAGCTCAATACATGAAACTTTGTAATGAGTAATAATAGAAGATTTACGCGGGTATGTAACTGTAGTTATATTTTATAAATATTATCACAAAAAGTGAGATGAGCATTACTAGTTTGCATAAAGGATCAATTGCACAATATAAAAAGTCAAAGTTTCGAAAAAGACAACATGGAAACATGAAGTATCGTAACAGCAATAACAGCGAGTTAAAGATGGTAACCTTTTGTAAATGGTAACCAACCACAAAAGAACAGATCTAACATATGACAGAAAAAATATCATGGTCTTCCAAAATGAGATAACCTTACCTCACAGCGAACAATAAATCACAACGTTAACGATCCTCCCAATAGGCTTATGGATGTGACTGAAGCCGGTCTTGTATCAGCATCGCACTATGACAAACAGTCAATACGCCCTCGCACTATATAGGCTGAGATACGTGTCACTCAATATCCTTCGTACGTTATCTCCATCACTATAGGTTCTGTTCAGCGTGGCCCTCCTCACGTTAACACAGGGTTACACGTGCCCACGAACTCCTCTGTTTGGCAAACAGGATTACTTCTTCTTAAGCTCAATTCCATTTTCTTTGGATGCAGTTGCCAAAGTATTCCCGTACCAGTACCATTAAATACTTAACCGAAAACCAAATCCTTTTATGGACGAAATTTCTTTCGTTAGTTTATTTGTGTTGGTTTTTACTATTCGGTTTCTTCAATAGCATTGTGGCTACCTAGTCTGCAACTTGCTCGAGTTAATGTGACTTCCAACTAAATCATTCTTAATTAGGTGAAGTTGGCTTTTCAGACGAGGAAATTAATTTATCTCTCCCGTCCTAAAGGCGATCACGGTAAAGTGTTTGACTGTATTCCAGCTCAAGTTGTCCAACGAGAGACTCAGGCATTCTGCAGACGAAGTTAGTTTAATGACATTGTTTAACTTTTTATTTTGAACGTACTACACACACTTAACATGTTTGTATGATGCAGGTAGCATTATTGGATTAATGATCGTGGTGGCGGGGACACCAGAAATGGGCTTTACACACTGTACCCATGTCGGGATTCGGGCGAGTGCTTTAACCACTAGGCTACCCGACCGCCTCTTATGGTGTGAAGAACGTCCTGACTTAAGACTTTTATGTCTAAACATATACAAGAACGTGCCTAGCACCCAGGATTTCAATTGTTAAGTCGTAAATCGGATGGTTTTATCGAGGTCGATTGAATCGCGATTAAACAGGTTTCACTTTCCAGCGATGCCAGTGTTTTTAAATACTCATCCCTTTTCTCTCAAACGTTATATTTTCATTTGTACAACATCAATTTTGTATGCAAACTACACAGAACCGTTTAGGAAATGATACCTATATCTATATATCTTCCTGACACCACTTTCAATTAATACGCAGTATCTTAATCGCCCATTTCTGCGCATTGAGAAATATATAACAATATTCTCACAAACGCTGCTATAACGATAGCATATTGCCTTTTCCGATGACAAAAAACACAATCGGGTGACCCAACCCACACGATACTTAGACACCATAGTCTTTTGATGCAGTGCCTTTTTCTCATGTAATGATGACGTTGTCTTATGTCCAGTTCACGGTTTTTTTATATTCAGGACATATTAACATTTCATAATGACAAGTATGCATCATACATCATATGGATTCACACATTCTGGTGATTCATCAAGTGGCAAGTGATTTCATTCAACAACTTTTCAGGATGAGATACATGTCACGCCATATCCTTCCGCTGGTACCCCCATCACTATAGATGCTTCAGGTCGTGGCTCACCGCACGATAACACAGTGTCGCACATGCCCTTAGTCAGAACTCGTGTGTTGGGCAAACGTGATTCTTACTCACTCACATGGCTTCCACGAATCCTGTACATATGTCGTATGACAGACAATCAAAATAGCTATTTTTAACAATATGACAATTGTTATTAATTATGCCCCATGACACGTACATTTTTAAGAATCAGTGGCGTGACAATATTCAGATTTCAATATATTGATTAGTCACAATTGTATAAGTAACCGTTTTCATTCATCATATGACCTTTTGAAATTATGATGACTCATCAAGTGTGAAATAAGCTCATTCAACTGAAATAAACAGGAATGTGAATAAGTCTGGCAAAGTAACTTTATATTTATAGATTAAATTTATATGACATTAAATGGTTTTCTTTACTTTATCCGAGGAATCATATTATTCACCTGAAATCCAAACCTAAATAACATTATTATCATGCTGAAACAACATCATTTTAACAGAGAAATACCCTGAAACCTCCTCAAACCAGGCGGTTCTCCCATTCAAATTGTCCGGATTAACATTTGTCCGTACTACATATGGTGGGCATTTACAAATAGACGCATCAATGACAAAATTGACGTCGAATGCAATTCACTATTGTGACGTGTACCATATGTTCCCTTTGCATTTTTTAGGTGCACAATTGACTTGTCTTTGCATGTGTTTGTGTCGGGTACCACCTTTGGGTCAGGATATGTTTACCTGGTATCATCACTGATATTAAGTGATCCATTCACCACTGTTTTGCCTTTTACGTCTAATGAAATCGTTTTGGAAATCCTAATGAAATCGAGAATGGTTCTAAGGCGTGCACGTTTTATATTTATGATCACGGAAATAGTGTTTATAGCTTTTTATTATTATCTGGCTTTGTATATATAACTAGACGTTTCCAAAAAGATCGCCCATGATGTAGAGGTTTCCACACTATCGAGGTGTTACTGTGTTGTCCCTATTGCACAAACAATACATTAAGCTCACGTTGCTAGTCAATTCAATCCAAACAATTGTGCGGTGACGTTCAGAATATAAATCGTATTCAGAGAATGACGTCTCACACAGCATCTGGGCATATGCCTCAAAGAAAGATGTCGTACTAAAAACTCTTTATTAATGAACTGATGAATACATACTGCTTGTTTTACAAAGCTTTCACACCAACAAGAACATTTTCTCCTCCATTTTTCGTGTAACCTTTGCGCGTTGTGTTTTGATGCGACAATGTACGGTAATACATGTTGTATATTGGATGATGGCCTTTTCCTTTCATCTCGCAGCCAATCATGATAGAATTACACAGAAATTAAAGGTTGCTACATGCACATGGGGCTAAGTGAGAGATGAAACAAAAGGCCATTGCCTTAGGGATGTTTATATTCTTGTAGCAGGAAAAAGTACATGCGTATTAATTCGGAGTTGTCGTACGAATGTCTGAATTTGCCGTTTGAAGTTGCCGCTTTGGCTCTAGTGTCTAATTATAAGTTATCCCTACATCCTAACAGGAAGATGTATTTCAACTGTGCATATGTTCTATACACACATTATGTTTATATTAAATCATATTATAACCGTAACAAAGCAAAACATATTCAAATTAAACATTTTCGACTCCATACCAAAATTCCAACAGATCAAACAAGAAATAACCGATTCATATTACATCGACAGAAATGCATCATATTCACAATGTAAATACACACAGTTCCTGACGTTTTGGTCACTCTGACACCACCTATTCGTGTTAACCCACGAACTTTCACAATCGAACAAAGATATCTTAGCATCCTGACACTGGAATAGTTTTTGTTTGTTATTATCCACAGATATTTTTTGAAACGTGTATGTATTTAAGATTGCATATGAACTATATTCTGTAAACTTTTTTTTTGTGTACACCAAAAAGAAATAAAATCATAAAAAAAATATTATTTTTATTGTATTTGTTCCACGCATGTTATAAATAACTTTGTGCAACGTTGCTGACGTTCAACATAATGACGTTGATTTCAAATTGTTTTTGCTCATGATAAACAACAGCATCCACCTTTGTTTACATTATTAAGAATAAAAAAAAGCTTTTGATGCTGAACGGAAATGCAAATATACAAAAACATTAAGGGACATATATTTGAAAGAAATCCAATGAAATCGTGTAAAAGTATAGCTGATGAGATGAGTCGGACTTCCCACACAGTGCAGCTATTAAATAATCGTTTGTTATAATATATCGATGCAACTTAGACAGTCGTCAAGTGCAGTTAGTATTGAAGTGGTCCCATTAGTGAGAATCTCCAATGACCACTTAGTGTCCGGTCACTCAGTCCAGAGCGTGCTCCGTCATTAACTGTATTCGCCACACTCTGTAATGAGTGTGTTGTACAAATGTTTGCTCCCTTCCAATTGGTTACAATCTACTCAAAGATGAATAATGGGCCTCTGAGAAAAAGGTTAGGCACGTTTCCTTTCATAGAGAGTGAGTGAGTTGGGTTTAACGCCGCTTGTAACAGTATTACAGTTATATCGCGGCGTGTCAGCTTAATGTGGGAGGAATGCCCGAAGTGATGCGGGTCTCAGACGTTTACCACTTCGGTGAAACCCACGAGCACGGGCATGGTTCTGACAAACCTAGAAACATAATCGGGGCGAACCGGGATTCGAACCCACAATCATAGGTTTCTGGCGTGCCCAAGGGACGCAACTCTGCATAGCGAATCGCGGCGCATTAGACGACTGGGCCCCCCCGTGCCCCCGTTTTCTTTCATAAATGTTTACATATATTTAAGGATCTGCTCAGTCTCGATTTTCTGCTAAAACAGATTCCATTGGGCGTAAAAAGGCACAGTAGCGGTGAAAATTATTTGAATGGATCACTGAAAATCAGTGATGACACCAGGTGTTCGCGACAAGGGTAAGCATGTCTTGTCCTACTGGTAGTACCCGCCACTCGCACAATTTGCAGAAAAAAGTAACTGTCTGTTGCCTGAACCCTTACAACAGTACTCCTGCTTTCCGAAGGCGGTGGCCGGTAAACAATGCAGTCTTGACCAGACAATCAGACAATCAACTAGACAATTCAGTGACATGAGAGTGCATTTAATGATTTTGTTGAAACTAAAAACAAAGGTAAACAAAACGGAAACAACATGTATTGGAAATGCCCTTCCCATTGAATGGTGAGGTGAGGTGAAATTGGGTTTAACGTCGCGTCCAAGATAATTGCACTTATATAGCGACGTGTATGTACGTGTTTGTGTGTGTTTGTTGCTGCTTGTACTTGTCCGGACTGATGCCGATTTATAGTGCTAGCTCACTGAGATACCATGCCGCAGTTTAACATGAATACCCCACTCAGACACAGTATACTGACTCCGAGCCGACCAGTCCTTGTTTTAGCCCCTTAAAGCCGAGCGCCAGACAGGGTTACAACAAGTACTATCTTTTAATGTCTTTTGGTATGACGCGACCGGGGATCGAACCCCGGACCTTCCGCTCTCCGGGCGGACGCTCTACCATTAGACCACGGAGGCGGTCTCCCTTTGAATGACATAAATATACATATACATATTCAATACATACCACTCAGATAATCCGGCTTGGAACCTGTACGAACTGCAGGCATTACTGTATCTGGATAGTATATTTTGACATTTACTAATCCTTATCATATTAAAATAATGTCATAAAATTGTAGTTTTACCTTGTGCCTTGTTCTGATTTGGTTTGTGATCAAATATAGCACACTACACTTATGTAAGATCCGTCAGCTCGTTTGACAGCAAGTTAATGGGTTTAATTATTGCCTTG